GTGCTGGGTTTACCTGAATGATCCTCATTGATCTTCTCAGCACGCCTACAGAGTAGAAAAAAATTGTCCCCGCTGGGGATGGGAAAATAATTTGCCCAAGTCGATACATCTCAGGTCTGATGACTCCTCTGTGTCTCAGTTCTGAGCATTATATTTTTTTTCCCCCGCATTGGGATAAAGAATGCAGCATCTTTCTCTGATTCACGAAGAATAGGAAGCAGCATAAAGAAGCAGATTTGCGACAATGGAGGAGAGGGAAAATGTAGGTGTTTCTGTCACGTGATCTGTGTCATTGTTAAACTATGAGCCAAAATTACCAACTGCAAGGAAGGAGAGGTGAGGTCAAGCACGGGGTCTGGAGAAGGGAAAGGGTTTAAGATAACAGCAGTGGTGACATGCAGTTGGGAGCCAGCCAGGGAGAAAGGAAGAAGGCCTTACTCAACAGTTTAAACTCGACTAGGATTAGAGGAACAACAGACTGGCTCCAAATCGGGAAAGGAGTGTGTCAAGGCTGTATATTGTCACCCTGCTTATTTAATTTATATGCAGAGCACATCATGCTAAATGCCAGACTGGATGAAGCACAAGCTGGAATCAAGATTGCGGGGAGAAATATCAATAACCTCAGATATACAGATGACACCACCCTTATGGCAAAAAGCAAAGAAGAGCTAAAGAGCCTCTTGATGAAAGTGAAAGTGGAGAGTGAAAAAATTGGCTTAAAACTCAATATTCAGAAAACTAAGATCATGGCATCCGGTCCCATCACTTCATGGCAAATAGATGGGGAAACAGTGGAAACAGTGGCTGACTTTATTTTTGGGGGCTCCAAAATCACTGCAGATGGTGACTGCAGCCATGAAATTAAAAGATGCTTACTCCTTGAAAGGAAAGTTGTGACCAACCTAGACAGCATATTAAAAAGCAGAGACATTACTTTGCCAACAAAGGTCCATCTAGTCAAGGCTATTGTTTTTCCAGTAGTCATGTGTGGATGTGAGAGTTGGACTATAAAGACAGCTGAGCGCCAAAGAATTGATGCTTTTGAACTGTGGTGTTGGAGAAGACTCTTGAGAGTCCCTTGGACTGCAAGGAGATCCAACCAGTCCATCCTAAAGGAAATCAACCCTTAATATTCATTGGAAAGACTGATGCTAAAGCTAAAGCTCCAATACTTTGGCTACCTGATGCAAAGAAATGACCCATTGGAAAAGACCCTGATGCTGGGCAGGATTGAATGCAGGAGGAGAAGGGGACGACAGAAGATGAGATGGTTGGATGGCATCACCGACTCAAATGAACTTGAGTTTGAGCAAGCTCCGGGAGTTGGTGATGGACAGGGAAGCCTGGCGTGCTACAGTCCATGGGGTCGCAAAGAGTCAGACATGACTGAGTGACTTAACTGACTGACTGAGGATTAAAGAGCTGGATGTTTAGGGAAGCTAACCTACTTGGGAGAAGCAGGAGTTGATTTCAAGATGGACATATAGTTGGAAAGATTTTAGTGATAATGTAAAAAATGCCCCGAGCCAGAGACATTTCAGATTTTAACATGAGGCAATGTATACTACAGGGCTCTGAGAATCAGCCATTGATACCCTAAAGGGATTATCAGTCCCAAACCACTGCTGAAGGAGGTAGAGCTGAGCAGCCTGGGGCTGGCCTGTCTGATCTGTGTCTTCCCACTGCCTTGCCAAAACCAAGTACCCTTCGAGCCTCTTGCAAGGTTGCTATTCTGACATGAAAATAACTTAAATCCCTTGACTCAAAAATAACAACATGTTAATTTGCATAAGAGTATTGCATTTTGTATTTTGGGTTTAATATCCAAATGCTAAAATTCACTTGTTTGACCTTAGTTAAGTGGTTTAGAGACTCAGCCGATTAAAAACTCTTTACAGGTTCCACTCTGACTCACCTAGACCCACCTCCCCACCCTGGACAGCTCCATTCTTTTGCTACTTGGTACTGTGCACACATTGGATTGAGCCTCTTGAATTATGGGTTGCATGCGTGCTAAGTCGCTTCAGTCGTGTCCAACTCTTTGGGACCCTATGGACTGTAGCCTGCCAGGCTTTTCTGCCCATGGGATTCTCCAGGCAAGAATACTAGAGTGAGTTGCCATGCCCTCCTCCAGGAAATCTTCCTGACCCAGGGATCAAACCCAGGTCGCCTGTGGCTCCTGTGTTGCAGGTGGATTCTTCCTGGCTGAGCCACCAGAGAAGCCAAATTATGGGTTAAAAAAGGACAAATCAGTTCACCTGAAGCTTGTTGTTTTGAAAAGTCTCTGCAGGTTCATGTTCTCAAGTTCACATGGTTATTGAGAGCTCTGTGGTGGGGCTCTGAGCTGCTCCATCTTGATTCATGACAGGCAGCCCCTCCTTAGAACTCCCTGGGTCTTGGTGTGAGGGCAGCAGTTGTGCAGTGAGAGGTTGTTTGAGAGGAGACAGCAAAGAAGGTGTTAATGAATGATCACAAGGCTTCGTTCTCCATAAAGGCAATTACTGGGATTGATTGTTTCCATGTTTCCTTAGTCACCGTTCAGCTTGCTTGTTTCACTGGGATTAAGACAGATGAACGCTGAATGCACACAGACATGTGATGTCAGGAGAATTATCAATGGCACATCGAAGGCCTCTGCTTTCTTGCACAGATGCCACTTGGGAGATCTCAGTGGAGATCTCAGGGGATCATGGCCACTGTGGGATGACCAAGTGGGGCAAGGTGTGTATGGTGGACCACGGGATTTTAGATAATGCATCTTCTCTCTTTCCTTCCCATACATGGTATAGTGGGGTGGTTTTCCAGCTTACACCTGCATTAGCATGCTGGAAGGCTTGACAAACAAAAATGCTTGAGCCCCATGCCCTGAGTTTCTGATTCAGTGGGTCTGGCATTGGCCCCAGGAATTTGCCTTTCTAAGAAGTTCCAGGGTGCTGCTGCTACAGGTGCTGCTGAAAACCAGTGGGGTCGTCATCAAGAGCATGGACACTGATCAGGCCACCAGACTTTCTATCACGACTTTACTTTTTACTAGCTGTGTGATCGTGGGCCCTGTACTTAACCAATAGCCAGGACATGAAGCAGCCTAGACGTCCATTGACAGAAGAATGGATAAAGAAGGGGTGGTTCACATATACAATGGACTATTGCTCAGCCATAAAAAGAATGAAGTTGAGTCAGGTGTAGTGAGGTGGGTGAAAGTTGAGCCTGTCGATACAGAGTGAAGTAAATCAGAGCAAAACAAGTATATACTAAAACATATATATGAAATCTAGTAAAACGGTACTGATGAACCTATTTGCAGGGCAGGAATAGAGGTGCAAACATAGAGAACAGACTTGTGGACATAGTTGGGAGATTGAATTGAGAGAGTAGCGTTAACGTATGTATACTACCACGTGTAAAATAGCTAGCTAGCAGGAAGCTACTGTATCGCACAGGGAGCTCAGCTTGGTGCTCTGTGATGATGACCTAGAGGGGTGGAGGGGGAGGGGTGAAGGAGGTTCAGGAAGGAGGGGATATGCATATAATTATGGCCGGCTTGCATTGTTGTACAGCAGAAACCAAGACAACATTGTAAAGCAATTATGTTGCAGTTTTAAAAAGGGGATAATGATAATAGTTCCTATTTCATGGGATAGTTAGAAGGACTAAATGAATTAGAACTTGGAAGCACTGAGACCAGTGCCAGGTCTATGTACACTGGATAAATAAAAGAGGCAACCTCTTGGAACTGGGAGCATATGGACCCGAGCCTCACTCCTCCAATACCTGCAGCTCCCAGTGAAGTGGCTGTGTCCTTTGCCTGTAGTCTGTGATCCTATCTCTGGAAGTCAGGAATGTTAATGCCCAGCTCAGGGCCAGTGCCAGCAGGAGGAAGGCCACATCGACCTCCATCAAAATCGTCTTGTCAAGCTACACTAACCCTTTGTCTACTAAATATGTGGAATGGGCTCAGTGAGATGAAGATGTCAGGGTGATGTGCATTTGGAGTTTTTCTCCCCGTGCCGGCAAAAAGAAAGGCTGTCTTTTACATCAAGTTCACATGCAGCCTTATACTGATTTGTTAAATGTTTGCTCGATACCCAGCACTGATATGTTTTATGCACATGGTTTCATTTAACCCTCAACAATGTCACTGTTAGGTAATCATTACTGTCTCTGTTTCAATATTGCTGGGGTTCATATAAGTTCAATGACTTGTCCAAAGTCACATGGCTATCAAGTGATAAGCCCCAAACTAAAAGCCAGGTCTGTCTGACTTCAATAATTTATAACCGTAAAGCTCTACTCTACCACCTCCAGCTTATTATGAATATTTATATAATGGTTTAAGGCTGGCCCCCAGGTATCCAGCCGTGGTAGCTGCTCCCTAAAGGGAAGCACCCTGGAACTGGAACTGTCTCTGTTTCAGGGGGTTGCTTTTCTATAAAGCCTGTGGCCGGACTCACAGAATATACTCCTTTGGGAAATGTCCTCTTCACCAACTTATCTTGCTGCTGCGGCTGCTGCTGCTAAGTCGCTTCAGTCGTGTCCGACTCTGTGCGACCCCATAGACAGCAGCCCACCAGGCTCCGCCGTCCCTGGGATTCTCCAGGCAAGAACACTGGAGTGGGTTGCCATTTCCTTCTCCAGTGCGTGAAAGTGAAGTCGCTCAGTTGAGTCTGACTCTTCGCGACCCCATGAACTGCAGCCTACCAGGCTCCTCCGTCCATGGGATTTTCCAGGCAAAAGTACTGGAGTGGGTTGCCATTGCCTTCTCCGGCCAACTTGTCTTATTGCCTAATTATTCTCTCTGGCCTGATTTCTGGGTGAAATTGTGTTCACATCACCAGAGGTGGCTTTTCTTACATTTGGATATGGACTTAGTGTCTTAACATCTCTGGTTGTGGACAGTGGTCACAACCAGAAGGCCAGGAGCGCATCCAGAGGCTAAGCTGAAGATGTGAAGAGAGAAAAAACTGGTGTGCTGATGAAACCTTTCTCTCTTCCCATAGTGTTCCTTTCTGCCGAAATTCTCCATTCACATAGAAACCAAGTACGAGGACAACAAGGGAAGCAATGACAGCGTGAGTAGCCCCTGCTCCCCCCACCCCAGCCCCACCCCCGTCCGCACTGTTCTCCCCTCGTGGACGGAGCCAGCCCCACCACCTGTGCCTGGGACCTCAGAGACGCTCTGGCTCTTCTTCTCATTTTTATGTACATTCTGTGGGCCTCTATGCAGAAATCTCTGTCACCTGGAGTGATTGTCATCGGGGATCAAGAGGGATGAGGGGAACCTCAGAGTCTGGAATTCGGTTTCTGGTCATTGGATTGAACACACATTTTCTCCGTGACAATTGACATTTACTTAGAAGGATGAATACGATCAGATGTGTGTGTGCATACTGTACATATTTTCTGGGCTGTGCATATGTTACATACACACACTCATACGTGCCGAAGAATCCCACCTTAAAAATCAGTGTAACCCTCCTGCAAGATGTTTTCCTCATGAGGCATTCTGACTGTCACTAAATTTCAGCCAAGAACTTTATTAGTATTGCTTAAACTTCACTTCTGACCTGGCTTTTACCCCACCTCTTTCTGTCAGAGGAGTACATTTCTAAATTCCTTTCCCTTTATGAGTGGATGATTTGACCTACAACAACCTCACCCTGACCTTGAGCTATGAGTTCCGTCAGGACCCATGAGGGAAGACTCTGTATCTAGAAGCTGCAAGGCTTCATCTGTTTATTTCTGCCTCAATTACATGTTTTGCATTTGTGGAGAATGATGAAAATTGAGGCTGTATCGAAATGAACGAGAGAGAGTCTCCTGACAAAGTGACCCCTTTGGTGCCTTCACTGAGCTAGGGGAATACAAAACAAGATGCAGGAGGTTATGGAGGTGCCTAAGTGCCAGAAAGAAATATCTAAGGGCTCATAAACATCATCAATTTACAGCTTTGGCCAGGCCTACTTTGTGTTTGATCATGTTAACAGCTTCTAGAAACATCTTCCAGAAGGTTCCTCCCCTTGGCAGGAACAGATTCTTCTAGAAGACATGGATGCATTTGTGCAGCACTCAGATGGTCCCATTCAAGGTGGAGTCTGCTGGAACAGAGCTTGAGTGGTTCCCAGGAGGAGTCACCCGACAACTATTAATACAATTCACACCAGCATGGGAGAGAGGACACTGGTTCATCCACTCAGTATTTTGGAACACAGCTACATTCATTTGTCTGTGACAGAATGAGTACTTAAAACAGAACTCATGTGGTTCACAAAGCCTAGAGTATTTATTACCTGGCCCTTTACAGAAAAAATGTTTTCTAACCCCTGCCTGGTTGGAGAGACTCAGATCAGAACAGCATCCACCGGGTCTCCAGATTTGACCACTTGATAGATCTGTCCCAGCTGAATGCCAACTCCAGAGTTCCTGAAACTATCCAGAGGAGAGAACACTGCTACCCTCAAGGGTGCTTATCCCCCCTTGAGTTCAGGAGCCTCAGTGGGTAGCATCCCCTGGTGATGGGTGACCTCAGAGGAAATGTTTAGTCCCATCTCCTTGTCTATAGCCTGACATCAGGCTTCCCTGATAGCTCAGTTGGTAAAGAATCCGCCTGCAGTGCAGGAGACCCCAGTTCAATTCCTGGGTCTGGAAGATCCCCTGGAGAAAGAATAGGCTACCCACTCCAGTATTCTTGGACTTCCCTTGTGGCTCAGCTGATAAAGAATCTGCCTTACAGGCGGGAGACCTGGGTTTGATCCCTGGGTTGGGAAGATCCCCTGGAGAAGGAAAAGGTTACCGACTCCAGTATTCTAGCCTGGAGAATTCCATGGACTATATATATAGTTGCAAAGAGTCGGACACAACTGGGCAATTTTCACTTTCACTTTCACTGGGGCCAACTCCAGCAGTCTTGTGGTCTAAAGTAGTGTTGCATAGTGTAACTTGAACTGTTGTAATTACTCTTTCTGATTGGAAAATTAACACATGATTCTTAAAACTTTGAAAATCAAAAAAAAAAAAGTGAAGCAAAACCAGTAGTAATCTCAGACTTCAGAGATGACTGCTGTTAGCATTTTGGTTCATCCTGCAAAATATTAATGAATTTACTTTTCAACCAATTTCCCTAAAATTGAATCGTACAACATCCTGTTTTTAACATGTCATAAAATATCCTTCCCAGTAATTTTTAATAGCTACCCTGCATTCCCTACTTAAATGTATTTCTTTAAACAATTGTCAGTCACTGAATATGGGAGTGGGCATGACCATTTTAATGTATCTGTAGACCATCAAGAAAAGGATGGTAGAGATCAAACATGCCTTAATTGCTTTTCTTGGCACAATCTAAAAAACATGGGGTTGAGGGAAGCAATAGGAGTTAAAACATCTTTTAGTCTTTCTAGACAGATTGTCTTGCTTTCTCTTTTTCTCTATGGCTCTGTTCTGTCTTCACGGATAGTTATAACCCACTCCCTTTGTAGAGGTTTGGAATGGATGTATGGTCCCACCATGAGCCTGATAGGTTGGCAAGACCAGTGTGATCTGGTTTATCCTCTGCTCAAGTCTAATCTAAAAAAAAAAAAGGATCACATGGTTATCATTTATTGTCTTGTATCCCATTTTTGGCAGGCGCTAAGGTCTTTTTTTACTACTCTCCTAGGAATTTAGCTTTGTCACTACTCTCTTAGGAACTTAAAATACCAAGTGAGCCATCCTAAAGTCAGGAGCTATGCCTGGAGCCAGCGTTTTCTACCCATGCCAAAGGCCAGTTCTCTCTGAGACTTAGGCCAGCCTGCAAGAAAAGCAGTGAACCCCGGAGCACTTGTGAGCAGTCCTTGTCAACACAGCTTGCTTCCTCTGGGAGAAATGCCAGCTATTGCACCCTGTGTTGCCTCCTTCTCCCCAACTTGCTGGCTCTGAGACTGCCCATGAAGCCAGCTCTGTATTCTCTCTCTCATGGCACCCACCTTGCCCAAGTCCAAGTTCACTAAGTGTTTTTGCCCAGCCTCAGCCTGGCTCTGATCCATACATCCCCAGGTCTCCTTTCTGAGCTATTGGATCAAACAGGCCAGCTCCAGCTCGATTAGACTTCTTTACCAGTTTGCCTTCTTCTAATTTCCATATTCAGCAGCAGCTGTTGGTCACCCAGCTGGTTCAAGCTTGGTCCCTGGAGGCAGAAAAGGAAGACTTCATTGGTTTTCATTCACACTTGTTAATGTGTCCAGATCAGAACATGAGAAATATGTATTTATGTAATAATACTTTATTAAAAGATAGCTTTGTCCAGGGGTTCAAAACTAGAGCCTTAAGCAGATGGCGTGTGCTGGCATGCTCTTTTCTGTCCAGGGATGAGTATAGAGTTTCTGGTGGGAGGCAGAATTGCTAAAGAAAGCAGTGCAGTGGTGGATGTTTCTCTTGTCTCACTGCTTTGCCAAATTATTTAATAAACTCAGGCCATTTCTTTGCATTTTCTGGGTATATAGTCTTATCATTCAGCTACCATCCTTCATACCACTATCTGCATCCTGTTTCTCTCCGTACCTGCCAGAACTTTAATGAAATGGATGACGATAAGAAGCAATAATTAAATTGAAAAACACTACTGATAATCATATTGATTACTGATTGAATAGAGTCCATGTTGTTATCCTCTTATCAATCACACCTATGTCATCTTTTTACGTGACCCAATACTGCATGTAAAAACATAGAAATTGGTACATCTAGATTTAAATATTTTCTCCTTGTTAAAATAAAGCTAGTATATTTATGAATGTGAAAACCTATAAACCGTGATTACATTAACCAGGACACAATGGGGAAGTTGTCTTAAATTGAGGCCCGTTTATTTTATGCACATGCTGATGAGAATTATTTAGGCCTTAATTAGTGCTGGGAGGACGGCACCGTGCCAAAGTAAGGCTCTGTTGTTTGTCCAAGGCCATAAATCTAGAGCTGGGAGAGTCAGCGCGTATCATTCGAGTGTCGGCCGCTGCCAGGTTACTGTCACTCACTGCAGTTAATGGGGGGCAGGCCTGCCTTCTCTTCCTCCTCCAGACAAAGCAGGTACCACTCAAAGCGGTGGTTCTCAGTCTTGGCTGCATGTTAGACTCAGAAACTCTAACCCTAGCTCCTGCCTGGTTTCTGCCCACACTGGGATTCTGATTTAATTGGTCCTGGGTACAGACTGGTCTAGGGCAGTGCTTCCTACACTGTGTCTCTAGGAATACAGAGTTTGCCAGTAGCAGGTGTGTGGACTTGTAGGGTCTACTCTCTGGTCAAACCTGATCCATTCTGTTTGGAGGGTATAAGATAGGCCATCCTCACCCCACTTGAGGATCTAGACCACTGGTTCTCAGTCCTGCCTGCATAGTAAAGTTACCTGGGAAGCTTTAGACTCACTGATGCCACTACCCCACTCCCCGGGAGTCTGACTCCACTTGTTGTACTCCCTCAGTGTAACCTAAGAGCCGTCAAGGCTGAGAACTGCAGATTTAAAGGCATGTGAAGTGCTATTTAAAACCAAGCCAAGTGACCCTTAGGAAATCCGCTTCTCCAGATTTCTTCATTTCTTCATACCCCTGAAAACATAAAAGTTTACAAAAGCATATTTATAACCACCACCACCACCCCACACACACAGTGAAGGGGCCTGAGGGAACTATATTTCTTCTCATTAGCCATTATTCCTCAGCAACAAAACTTCTCTGATCAGATGGAAAGAATGTCCAGTTTAGTTCCTGGAAGAGCAAGGCTCTGTTCTTCACAGAACTCTCCTTTGAAGTTGCCTAGAAGTATTGATAATTTATTTAGTTTCTAGTTCAGTTATGTTATAATAGGAAAACACAGAGTCGTTCTTTGTGAAATGAAAAGATTCATGTTGAATCTGCAGCTCTATGACTTAAGCAATGGAGTTTTGGCTTCTCTATCAAGAAAACAGAGTAAATAATGTCTGCATCACAGTGTGGAGGACTCATCCAGGTTAATTTACCTGGAAGCACTTCATAAACTGTAAGTACGATACAAATTTTAGGTTTTGCTTCAGTTACGGTCATACCTTGGGATTAACTGCATT